TGATGAAGCACTTTCAGCTAATTTGACACATATTGCGTTTRTGTTTTTGGAGATAATTGCGAAGCCAAACGGCTGTGCCAGCCTTCAGGGACTCCTGGCACATCCATTACACCATGTGCTGGCTCGCAACGTCCAGAAAAAACACTCTGCTGATACTCTGATTAAACATTTGGGGACCTTGAGAAGTCACAAACCGTGCTACTTCCTAACTTTTATGAAATTGCCTCTCGTAATGTTGGCATTCAGCGGCTACTCTGTTTTTCATTATGACAACCCCCTGTAGGAGCTGAAGCTTATTTTCATTTTCTCTGGATGTACGAGGGCAATGAAGCCATTCCTTTTAACAGCCTCTGCTTTTATTATTATCCAACCTTACAAAATACCTGAAGTTCTGTAATATGTCTCTGCAGAGACTGCAGCATTTTAATGTGGGTAAACAGAGCCATATAAAAGAGCTTTTGTTAATGTGAAAGAAAGCAACTACCTGAACCTGGACTTGATCTATTACCTCTTCCACGATTCATCATTTCCTCCTGCTCTTAACTGAAAACAGCTTATTTATTTCCTCGCTCACACTTTCCTGAATCAAATGAGGAGCATAMGATTGTGTTTAGCCGTGACTTTTCTTTCCTTCAGCGTGACGGCTTTGCACCTCGCCTGCAGGTCTGGAAGGAACTCTAGCCTCTGTTCCTGCCAAAGTCCTCCCCACGTTCAGAACATCATCCAGCTCCAGCACCTGGGTCTCACGCTGCAGGCAATGAAGTCTCACTGTTTTCTGCAAACACACCTGATTCGGCCAAACGGATGGGCTTTTTCACACAACACCTGATGTCTGCGACGCACACCAGGACGGATAGTTTACACCGGCAAGAGCTGGTAAGTAGGGGAGACCGGGGACAGTTACAACACTTTTTGCATTTGACTCTTGTTACTCAGAGATGGTTTGAATTAGACAAACATAATTTTAATGCAATAAACTTGTGTCTGTCTGTTAATAATCAAAACCATTTATAGATGATTAAAGCATTCTTCACAATATGCATTTGAAAATGAAAAGTCAGATGTTGCAACTGACCCCGAGGACGGGGACAGTTGCAACAATGTTTGGGGTGGTTACAACATATTATTAATACAATATATTTCACTGTAAATAAATTTTTATAATTTTTATATTTATGTTATTGCTAAATAATAAAAACTGTAAGTTATAATGTTATTACAGTGTTATTTATTTATTCTTTTTGATCAAATGACGAATATAGATTTGCTTTGATGAATAGACCTTATATACAGATGTCAAAGACTCTGACATAAAATGCAGTTGGCATTTTGAGACAAGGATAATAGAACAATTTTTGAAGCAATTAACTTTTGTTTTACCTATTATCACTGTTTGTCTACATTATGCGAAATTTACATTGAAAGAAACTGGAATTTTAAAACCACTGTTGAAAACAACAACTGCAGAAAATACAGCGGGTAAAATAAGTATTAAACACGTCAACATTTTTCTCAGTAAATATATTAGAGGAGGTGCTAATGACATGAAATTTTCACCAGTTGTCGGTAACAACCCAAGTGATCCATACATACAAAGAAATCAAACCATATATGTCCAGAAATGAAATTGTTTGTAATAATGTGGAATGGCACAGGGAAAAAGTATTGAACACATGAAGAAAGGGAGGTGTAAAAAGGCATGGAAAGCC